GAATGAGATTTAAGAGACAGGGTGGGAGAAGAGGAAACGGAGGTGGGGAATAAGAAGAAAAATGAGAAAGAGAATGGAAAGAAAGAAAAGGGGTGATGAAAACGAGGAAAAGAAAAAAGAGGAAGGGGGTAATGATATAGAACGAAGAAGAATTAGATTAGGAGGTTAGAAGACTAGGATGAAGAAGAAGAGAAAGAACACAAGGAAAAAGAAGAGAGGGAGGCCGAGACACAGGAAAAAAAAGAGAGGAGGAAGAAGATGAAGGAAGAAGAAACAGGAAGGAGAGAAGAAAAAGGGGTGTAACATTATTCTGTAGTAGAGAGCCTGTAAAGCCAAAACCTTCTGGACCCACAATGTGCTTAGCAAGTGTGATAATATATCTTAAGCTACGGCTCGAACAAAATTGCTTGGAGAAGCAAGTACAAAGGCAACACACACAAAAAACAGGAAGGGTTCCAAACCCCCTTTTGTTATTTAGCCAAAGCCAATCCCCCGTTTTTTTTTTTTTTTTTTTTTTTTTGTCACACTCCAAGATGTTTAGAGAGAGTGCAAAAAGAAAACCACAGGGAGAGTATTAGGTGCGGTAATCTCGAAAGCGATGCGTAGGCTAGTGGGCATTCTCAACGGACGAAAAGGCCGGAAAACATTCTTAAAATTCCTCGGCTGGAATGATTAGCGGACGGTCGGCTGGATTCTTTCTTAAGGAATACACCGACCATCCTATTACTGGACTGCCGCGGACTCCGTATTGGAAATATATAAAACATTTACTTGGTCTTTTCTTCTTGGCGAGGGATGGGAGACAGAGGTTAAGAGAGGGGTGGAGAGATAAAGTAAGAGATAGATAGATGGGAAGGAATGAGAGAAAGGTCGGAGAGAAACAAAAGAGAGAGAGAGAGAGAGAGAGAGAGAGAGAGAGAGAGAGAGAGAGAGAGAGAGAGAGAGAGAGAGAGAGAGAGAGAGAGAATATAGAGTGGGAAATTAAATACATTATATTGATTAATTGAAAACGATTTTAGGGTATATGTCTCTCTCTATCTATATATCTACCTCTAAACAGACACACACATATATATATGTATACGTATATATGTATACATATATGTGTGTGTGTGTGTGTGTGTTATATCACATCTATCTTTATCTATATATATGTATGTGTCTATATCAATTTACACATATATATAAATGAATGTATATATTCATAATAACCGTGCTAATGCATGTATAATTCCATCAGAAGTTGGGAGTATCATCACATTGTTATGCAAATTTTTGTATATTGCTGTTTGTTCGTCGAAAGTGCAGGATGTGAATGTAAATACAGAACGCCAAAGTAAACCTGGAATATCGGCACAACGGTGCAGAGTTGTAATTGCAGTTTCAAGATCCAATTGAAATGTCTACAGAAGCTTGAAGTAGACTGGTCAAGTTGCAACATGAACAAACAGGGGCCTGTGTGAGGGTGTGTGTGTGTATATGTGTATATATATATTGTGTGTGTGTGTGTGTGTGTGTGTGTGTGTGTGGTGTGTGTTTGTGTGTGTGTGTGTGTGTGTGTGTGTGTGTGTGTGTGTGTGTGTGTGTGTGTGTTTGTGTGTGGTGTGTGTACTTTTAGTATATAGTATACGAGTATACACACACACACACACACACACACACACACACACACACACACACACATATATATATATATATACATATATATACATACATACTTACATACATATACATATACATGTATGTATATATATAATATATATATATATATATATATGCTACATGTATATATATATTGTATATATATATATATATATACATGTATGTATGTATGTGTGTGTGTGCACGTGTGTGCGCATGTGTGTGTGTGACCGCCCTCGTTCACCAATGCAGCTAAAATTCATAAGGACCTACAGCTCCTGGGAACAAGATGTGATGCATCACAGAACGTCATCAAAGAAAGGTTGAACAGACGACGTCGCTAGCGTCTCCTCCAGTTCGCCAAGCAATATGTGGAGAGAGAGATCTAGATTACCGGGGAAGGGTAATAAGGACAGAGAAAAAAACACAGGAAATGCATGGAAAGCTCCATTGCTGGATGAGATAAAAGGCGTAAATGTTATGAACTATTTTAATTTTTTCACATATTTGTTTATTTACAATACTGTCTTATACGTCATACATCATGTTCGGTTGTATTTTATTATTTACTTTTCACATATGACAGACAAATTATCTATAAAACGGCGAGGGGTGGCCACGTGAACTGTGACATGTGGGAGTAGATCTTACTGCATGATGGCGAAATGCTTCTTAGAGAAATATATAGAATTGTTAGAAAAATGTTCCTCCAATTAGTACGCTCCTGTGCCTTGGCCCTTCCCAGAAACAATCATATTGGCTGAGGATAATTGCCCTATACAGGACTATCTAGGACTAAAACCACCTGGAGGACCTTCAATGGCCTGGCAAGACATATGATTCATATCCGACGAAAAAT